CTGCACAGCACTGATCAGCGAGGGTCAATGTAGCCGACGGTCGAGCTTACAAGGGTGAAAAGATCACTGTTAGGCATGGACGGTGCCCAGGGGTTGCTGTTGGGAGCGGAGACGGGCGCGGAGACGGGGGTCGTGTTCTGAGCCATGATTTCAAAGATGAGAGAGAGAGAGGGTGGAAGGGAGGAAGGTTGCCAGTGGTTAGAGAGTTGAAGATAGAGAGTATAAAGTTGTGAATGAACTTTGTCTGCGCCAGGCAGGTAGGGATGGTGGTGGTAAGGAGAGAAGAGAGATAATTACAACGGTCTCACTCAAGCAGGACGCGCTGGATTGAACGAGTTATATTACTATATAGTACTGTTGCATTGGTAAACATTCTGGAGGAGCGTTGGAGCAGAATTGACCATACCAATGTTGCTACACCCTCGAGCTCTTCATCCCAAGATAATCCGTTCGCCCAGGTCGGTTTGACGCAAAACGGAGGAAGATCCAGCACATCGTGCAGACCAGGAAATTCTGTCGAGCAGGCTGCTGCCGCAGAGGTATTAGACGATTGATAGAGCCGGTGTGTGTCTGTCGCCATCTGCCTGAAATTCCATGAGGCCAATCACGGATCCTTCAAGTCAACACCGGGCTCCCAGTGGTTGGAGAAAAAAATAGGTAAAGATACCTTTGAGAACATCCCTGGATTCTGAGGGCCGGATCCTACAGCAAAGTGGTGATCCATGTGTACGCATTGAACGAGATTCTTCAAAGCCAAGAGGATGAAGGCAACCGTACTAGCCCCCCGTATGACCGCACAGGTCCTGCAAGAGCTCCACTACACAGCTACACAGGACCTTGAGACCGAATCGGAGGGAGACGACGCGGACACGACCAAACTTGCGAGTACAGAGTCTTGGACGCGAGGAATGAGACCCAGACCAACCCACACGCAAGTAATGGGAGATGTGAGCAAAAAAAAATCTGATTTGCGAGCAGGAAAGCGAAGGCTGAGACTCAGAGAGATTGGAAAGAGAGCAAAAGCGAGGAAACGGCACGGCTTGTGCCGAGGAGTGCCGAGCAAAGCTTTCGGCTTGGGAAGCAAACACGCGTAACGTCCTCAGTTTCAACTTTCCAACAACCCTGAGCAAATTTAAACCATGAGCTCAGAGTATTTGGGACATGAGCCACTCTTTGGAAGAGATATCCGCGCTTTTCTCTGCTCGGTCTCCACACACCAACGATCCCGTTTCGCCTCGCACAACTGCTTTGTCGTCAATTCTGTCCTCTCGTCCTGTGCACGTTCCTCGGACGCGTCTTCTCGCGTAAATCACGCTCAAGACTCAAGATCAACGTGGTGGCTTGCTTCAACCCCGTATCCTCTACCTAAACCATCTTGCGGAATGGAAATTGAATGAAGGGCTGCACGAATTGGAGCGCAGATGGCCAGTGATGGAACGACAATCTGGATGGCTTCCCTTCTTCAAGGCTAGCTTCAAGTTCATGGTCTGAGAGCTGTCCACTCTGAGTCGTCTACTCTGCGGAGTGTGAAGAAACGGGAAAGCCACCAAGCATGCACAAATAAATTCCTCCTCCTCGCACTCGCACCGTATTTTTCAGGCCGCCGCCTTGGGCTCTCAATAGGTCTATTGGGCTAGAGTGGATGCCCTGTAGCGAGACCAGCCAACCATTCCACCCCGAACATGAAGAGATTCCTCCGGCCGCGACGGTCGAACGACAATTCCAGTGCTCCGACACTCTGGATTCCCACTTGCTTGAATTCCACCAGAGCGTCAAGCCCCTCCTCACTATCCCGTCCTTCGACGACGCCTCCATCTGCACGTTGTATACCGAGTGTCTCTCTGACCAAGAGACGGATCGCGTCCGCATCGCCGACTTCCGAGGCCGGACGACGCAAAGGTTGGTCGCCCATTTTCGCGCCTTGCCGCCAGACGCCGCGAAACTACTCGTGACCGCTAAAGTACTCTGTGTGGACCCGGGATTGGACGACAGGGAACTCGTCAAGCAACTTATCATCGCGCACATATTTTCGATGCGCAGCGAGCTGATCGAGCTCAGGGCGTGGACGGCGGTATGTTTGAAACTCTTTATGTATAGTCGTAAGTAACGCTGCGCGCTTCCTTACTTACTCTTTTGAGCTTACACGCCACGGTCTAGACAAGCGGAATAACTATGTACGGGAATTGCAAAGACGCCATCCTCCAGACCATCGGTGTCCTCCGACTAAGCCAAGTGAGCTGACCGCATTTTACCGTATGACTCGCCATTCGTAACCTCTTTCTCCAGGGCCACGAGTCAGCCCAGTTCTCGCTCTGAAAGCCCGACTCCGACTCCGGCTCCGACTCCGACTCCGATTCATTGGGGGACTCAACATTCCGCTGTGTAACCACCGCGTATTACCTGAGTTCAGCGACACCGGCAGAAAGCAGCCTTTTTTTCTGACGCTGCGATCTATCCTAGCTCCAGGCTCGTGCGCCGGCGTAGTCGACGACCTTCTCTGGGTTGAACTCGAAGCGTACAAATCTGTGAAGTAGATACGTTGCTGGGTCTGTAGGAAAACTGCTCGAGAATGTGCACGTGGGGGATGAAATGAACGTCGGATATATAGCTTCGCACTCTTGCAAGCATACAGGCCGCAGGCACCGATTGTTTCTCGACCTCGACTGCGGGTGCAAACTCGTGTCGAGGTAAATGAGATTGTTCGGGCACTTGGTTTGCGAGTTCTTACATAAAGTAAAAAGCATCGACCTGAGAGCACAATGGTTAGTGCAATATGTGAATACTGTGGTGTCTGCACGTTTCCATTATTCCAGGATCGTCTACACGCGCTTCTTGTTCATCTGTTGGTCATCTCACAGATTCCCACTTGCATCCAAAGGAAAGAAGTGCTCGCCTCGGTGGATAGATGAACAACTTATGCTGAAAATGAAGGCGACGGCCGACGCGCAACAGGATGTACAAACCCTCCGCTTGGTTCAGGTTCGCTAGACTGCACTGTCCACCGCGGGAAGGGTATGTGTTACTTGTGTCTATCGCGTTCACATAGGAAAGGTTTGATTACGCAGGTATGTACACGAAATTCTACAAGAATTCCCCATCCATCTCTGCATTCCAAAACTCATTCCACCATTCCTTAACTCGAATATCCCAGCCCTCTCGCACCCGCATTGACTCCAGACTCTCCAGCATCGACGCAGGATTTTCCGCCGTCGTCGTCGGTCCATCCGCCGGCCTGCGGATGCGGAGCATCTCTATCCACGTCGGTTCATCGCTCAGCTCCGACGGGCCCTCCGCGTGCAACGACAGCTCGAAGCGCTTGAGCGGTGTGAATTCCTTCCCCTGTACGCCCCCGAAGCGCTGCGTGAGCATCGTGAGTAGCGCATCGACTGTCCCCGAGGAGCGCTCGAATTCCGTGACGCGGTGCATCCGTAGCGCACGCAAATGCGGGACCAGGACGGATGGATAGGATGACGGGGTGAGGAGGGTGAACACGTACGCGGCGTCGATGCCGCGCAGCTCGACGGCAAGGTCGACGAGCAGCGGCAGCTCCGTAAGGATGCTCGAGAGCGACGCGTTGGAGATGGCGAGCGCCCCGCAGAGGCGCAGGATCCTGAGGCCCTTGAGTTGGTCCGGCATGGGAAACAGCACGCCCAGCGAATGGTTCGCCATGAGCTTCAGATTCAGGCCTTGGATGCCCGGGAACGCGAAGCAGTTAATAATCTCCTCGATGCCCAGTTCTTCTGCATGCGAGTCGACGGCGAGGGACGCGAACCGGAGGTGCGGCATCTCGACCGCCTCGTCGTCACGTTCGCCGTAGAACGACGCGCGGAAGTCGACCACGGCGCTGAGCTACGCGATGATCTCCCACTGGCGCTCGCAATCCGGCCGCCACGAGCACTCGTATTCGCGGTAGCGCGTCAGCTGCGCGAGCGGGATCGGGGCGAAGATCGGGCCCTCGCAGACCGCGTCCGAGTCCATGTTCGCGTACGAGCATTCGAGGCTGCGGAGCAGGGGGTATTCCGCCGGCTCGCCCTGCGCGAGGTACTCCAGCGCGTAAAGGTTCGGAGATTGTAGAGACACGTTCTGCCAGCGCGCGGTGTGCTCGCCGAGACACTCGAGGAAGGGCTGGTAGTGCAGCGTCTCGTACGTGTACGTCAGGTGGAACGTGAGGGGGTGCTGCCCCGAGCGCGCGAGGTACGTCTGCATGAAATCGAGCGTCAGCTCCGCGTCGTCGGGCTCTTGGTTCTCCTGCGTCTGCTCCATCTCGAGAAACGACCATAATTTCGGGAAGGCGAGGGCGGAGGCGCGCCAGTGGTGACAGACATGGCTTATGGTCCACGGGAAGTATGCGGGGAGGTTATCTCGGTTGCCTGGGATAGGAATGCAGGCGAGAAAGACCTCGCCGAGGATTTCTGCTGGGAATGAAGGAGTCGCGACTATTGCTTGTTGTGCACTGAAAATGGGAAAGAAAAGCAAGGTGGGATCCTGGAGTGGAACGTACGACATGGGAGGGACCAAGGGCGAGGGCTGGTTGTTTGACTCTCATCTCGATTAATGGTTCACTTTATGAGGAGGAGGTGCCTTGTTTATAATAATAACCTCGGCCAACGCCGATCAAGGCCGACCGGAAGTCCCCGGGCCGCGACCCCTATCTGTCTAAATTCACGGCGCAAGTTGTGCAGCCAGTGCACGTCTATCTCAGACTTGAATAACATCCCGAACGTTCATTGTGGGGCATATGCATCGACGCCTACCCCATATCTGGCTGAAATTTCTGTTTTCTTTGGACAAGTACATGTAACACATAGATTCGTTTCTGAGTCTGCGAAAATGCTCGAGGATGTGCACGGAATGAAATGAACTTCGAACGGCTTCATGTTCAGAAGGTGGGGAATTAGCTGCAGCGCTGTGTTGGATTTTCCAAGTTCATTTCAATGATTCCATGGACAAGTCGTAAAGCTGTACTATCTACAACTTGATGAATTTCCTGCAGTAGCGTTGACCTGATAGCACAATGGCCAGTGTCTCTGCAATATTTGGACTATTGGCGAACCGGTTGAGCAGAGGATCCCCGTTCGATTCGGGGTCAGGCCGGTCAGGTCGTGTAACGCTTGAATTCTTGTTTTTGGAACCGGCGCTTTACCTTAACGAAAATGACCGGGGATGAGAGGAGCGTTGTGTACACATTTTCATTGCATATTATTCAAGGCCAAGTTACAGTAGATCCCAACCGCCCCACAAAAACGCCTTCGCCTCCTCCCAGCACATCCGCTCCCGCTCCTTGCCAAGCACCTCGCCGCGCTTCACCTCCTCCGCATCGACGCGCTTCCAGTCCGAGTATGTGACCACACGCCCAGCAGCGGCATCGCGCACCTGTGGCGGGGGCAGCTCGTCCGCCGGCGCCGGATTCATCGCGAATTCAGCGTGCGCTTCCACATCCGCCTCTCCCCCGGCATCCTCCGCATCCGCATCCGCCAAAACCGCATCCGCAACCCCATACGCGTCCATCATCGTCGTCGCCAGCACGCCGCGCGCCCCATTCGCCGCCCACCCCGACGCATACACGCCCCTCACGCGCCGTCCGTCCGCGCCGACCACGCGCCCCGCGCTCGTGCGCAGGTGCCCCGCGGCGGGGTCGTAGAACGGCGTGTCCGGCTCCGCGCGGAAGCCGAGGCTGGGTATGACGAGCGACGTAGGGAGCGAGGGTGCGGGCGACGCGGGGACCGCGCGTGCGTGAGCATCAAGCGCCGTGTGCGACAGCAGCAGGCGCGGTTGTCCATCACTGTCACCCGGCGGCGGGGGGGCGAGGCCCGTGGGGCTCTTGAAGAACTCGAGGGCCCAGGTTTTGCGCGTCGTGCCGAAGGCGTTGCGCGAGCCCTGCGCGAGGAGCTGGAGGATGCGGGATTGCTGGCGGGTGGGGAGCGCGGAGGGGGGGATGGCGAGCAGCTGGGGGTCGATGGGGCGCATGGCGGCGTCGGGGAGGTTCGTGAGCTCGCGGAGCTCCTTGGCGGTGAACGCGGCGTGGAGGGGCCCGCGGCGGGCGATTATGTCGACGTGGTGGACGGTGGAGCGCGCGAGGACGTCGAGGACGGATTGCGGCACGTCGTACCTTTGTATAATGAATAGTTGGCTATGGAAGCCGGGATTGCGACCTACTTTTCGAGCACAGAGACGGGGGTGAGGAGGATGCGGGCGATATCGAGAGCAACATTCCCGTTCCCAATCAGCGCGACGTGCGTGAGCGTGTCCAGAGCTGGCGGCGGCGGGGCAGACGGGTGCTGGGTATACCAGTGCACGAATCCAAGGGCGGGCATGCACCACGGCGAGTCAGCAAGCGCAGTATGGAGGGTGGGCAGCGTGCAGCCCGTGGCAAAGACGAGGTGCGAGTAGTGCCTCTGCAGCTCCTGCAGAGGCAGCTGCACCGTATGCGGCATCCGCGGCGGCGGCGCCGTTCCAATGTTCACGTTCCCATAGAAGCTGAAGCGGGGATCGGCGGCGGCTTGGTCGAATTTGTGGGTGCAGTTCTGGACGAGGTCAGCGTCCCCTCGCCGTGCGCGACCCGACTTGCCTTGACCTCGGGGTGGTCTGGCGCGACCCCGTACCGCACAAGCCCGTGCGGCGCCCACAGTCGGTCATACAGGTGCACGCGTAGACTCGCGTCCGTCCTGCGCGACAGCAGGCGCGACGCGACGTAGAACGCAGACGGGCCTCCGCCGACGATCGCCACCTTCATGAACCGGGCAGGAGATGGTAGGAAAGAAAGGTCGAAACACACGACGCGATATTATTATTACAATTTTCTCGGACTACATACTGCAGCGGAGGTCCCGACTCTTCTCTGCTCTCCTACTCGAGCCATTGTTCCGGGAAAGCTGTCGTCGGATAGCTATTCCAAATACAATCCACGGCTTTCGGGTTCGTTTCAACAATATAGCCCTCGTCGGTCGACTTTCTTGTGTACCTGTGTCGTTTATGCTCGACTTCCACCGTGTATTTCAAGCTGCGTCCAGAGCCGTGCAACATACTAGGTCCGCCCGTGTCGTCGTTCAACGAGTGTAGGTTAACGTTGACCAGGACGCCACGCTGCTGGACCAAGGCGGACTCCATGACGGAGATTGCGCGCGGGCCCTGGTGTCCAAAGTCCCTGGACGCGACCTCGCGTATAATGTCTACGCAGCGCAAATAGCATGACGTGCCAGAGAGCCTGCTACTAGCATGTACCACCGACCACCGCGTCGAGACGTCTAGCAAGGTATGCAACCTGGCCTCATTGACGGCGTGCACACGCAAGTGGCGAACACGGGGCATATGAAGGTAGGCCAGGAGGAGGGCGCATCTTTTCCGGCTGTACACGAAACAAAAGTGCGTGAGACGCGGCAACGTGGCTGTGGACCGCGGCCGTTGCTGCGGGACGGGGTCGACGTCTTGGAGCTTGAGGACCATCAACTGGCGCGCGCTCTCCAGTACTGCGAGGAGACTCGATGTGTCAATCGAAAACGAACTCCACACCCTCCCCACGGCCAGTTCCGTCAGACCGGCAAAGGCGGGTGCGCCAAACCACAGGGGATTGACGGCGTCCAGATTCATGGTGGTCACCGCACTCCATACGGCGCCGTCGCGTGGTATGTCTCGCTGATCCGAGTCATGACTCTGACCCAAAACCCTTGTGTAGGCCTCGACGCGCTGGAGAGCGGCGCACGGTAAGCACATGAACGGCGCCATAACACAGGCCCAGTCAGCGCAGTTGGAGGCCTCCACCCGCAGCTGCCCGATCGCGTCAAACACCTCCGACACCTCCAGCACCGATTCTGATACAAGGTCATTCAAGTCAGTGAGGGACCGACAGACGACGGCTATAGTGCGGTGGCCGTCTGTCATGGAGTCGTACTCTTGCGCGTCGACGACCAAGCGGATGTCCTGGGCTTGCAGTGCTTTGTGCAGCGTAAAGGTAATGTGTTCGCGCGACATGAATCGGAAGAGTGTAACTGTTCTCCAAAAGTACTGGTTCTCGTAGACAAGGTCCCTCCACCGGCGACAGACTCGTACCACTGCTGCCCTGGTGAGAGTATTCGCGGCGAAGTCGCTTTGAGGGCCTATAGCATGGTCGAGGATTTTGTCCACGATCTCAGGAGGCAGATCGTCCATGGAGGTAGAGAGAGAGTTACATTGCGTTACACGGTGTCACACCGAGCCTCGGAGCTGGGAATATTATTTTATTAGAAACTACTCTAACGGCTTGTCGCCGTACTCGACCTGCTTCGTGACCTCCTTCGACGCCGAGATATACAGCCCGCGCACGAGGTCCGAGATGGGCTCGTTGGGGACCGCCTGCGCAAGCTCTTCTGCAACCCGCACGATCGCCTCCAGCGCCTCTGCCTTTTCGTAGCCCTGCACCTGCTCCGCCGTCAGCGCCGCAATCTGCGCGGGCGTGATCTCCTCCGCTTGCGCGGCGTCCATCTCCCACAGCGGGCCCCCGACCTCTTTTGTCCGCGCGCGCATCAGCTCCAGCCACCGTGCCAGCGCCGAGGGCGGGTGCGCGTTCCCAGGTCCCATTTCGCGCTCCGTCTTGAGCGCGAGCTCCAGCGCGGTGTCGAACGACTCCTTGAACGACAGGTGCCACGACAGCGTCATCCGCTGGTCGTCCATCACCTCGATGTACCGCTCGCGCCCCCCATCCTCGTCGTACGGCTCATCAACGTCTTCGGGCAGCGTGTCCAGATCGTTCTTCACAATCTCGAGCACCTCCCCCTGTACCGCGACCCAGTCGTTGAGCCGCGTCGCCGTGTCCTCGAGCGTCACAGCCGGCGGCAGCCCCGCCTGCTTCTGCTCGTACTTTTTCCGCACAACATCGATGCGCTCGCCGAGCGCCACCTGCCGCTGCCGCCACGGGTCCTTCGGGTCGAGCTCCTTGCGCGCAATGACGAGCGCAAGCGGCCACTCGACCTCGACCTCCTGCGCCTCGCCCTCGGGGCCCGCCGGCACCTGCGCCGCCGCCATCAGCTGGCGCAGGAAGCGCGTCGCGATGTCGCCGTCCGCGCGCTGCAGGTCCTCCGGGTACGCGTCGTGGAAGCGGTGCAGCGCGCTGAAGGTGCGCAGGTACCCGTCCAGGCCGTCGCCGCCCCACGTCATCGTGCGGCGCATGATCGGGTCCAGGTGCGGCTGCGGCAGCTCGGGGTAGTGCTTGCCCGTGAAGAACACGCGGTTGACGTCGGTCCAGCCCGTGGGCGGCGGCACGATGTCGAGGAGGTGGTTGTTGAGGATGCTGCGGCCGGCTTCCCAGTGCGGGCCGAGGGACGTGCGCGGGTCGGTCCCCTGCGCGTACTCTGTTATTAGTGGGGTGAGATGGGGGTATTGCGGCAGCCGGAATTCTGAGTAGACCTGAAATGCATTGAATAAGCATGAGGGGCAGTTAGCTCGCGGAGACGCGCACCCAAAACGCGGCGGTGCCGCCGTAGGTTAGCACTCGCGACAGCTCGGGCCACAGACGTTCCCAATCAAACCAGTGCGCCGCTTGGGCTAAATTGCAATTCAGAACGGATGAAATAAATATGAGATACAGACTGCACCGGCGATGACCATGTCGACTTGCTCGTCCTCGAGGAAGCCGAGCTGCTCTGCGGGGCCCTGCACGAATTCGAACCCCCCGGCGCGCTCGCCGAGCGTCTGTGTGAACGCCCTCGCCTGCTCGATCATTTTCGCGCTCGGATCAACGCCAGTGACGAAATTGAACCCCAGTGGTTCCTCCTCGAAGAAGGGTTGGAGCATCTCGCCTTCCTTGGGTGGGGGGCGCAAGAGTTCGACGGTTGCTTGGCCTATAAAAAAAGTTGAAATTAAAATTTTACCGCGTACTTTTCGGGCAAGACACACCGGTGCCGCAGCCTAGGTCGAGGGCGTGATCCCATCGGGCAGCAGAGCCGGGCATGTTGAGGGATTGCTTGTGGTAGGTGAGGATGGACTCGAAGAGGCTGCGCGGGTATGTTGGGCGCGAGGCCGCGTACCTGGCCGCATCGAACGTTCTCTTTGCAAACGTCGCCATGGCCGGCGCAAGCAAGAAGGCCCGACAATGCGCTCAGAAAATAGAGAAACGCGAGTAA